AGAGCAGGGGGGGTGGCGGGAGCCTCTCCCGCCTCCACGGCAGGTGGACATCCCCCTGGGGGTCCTGGACTGTGAGAGGGCGCAGGCTGGGCTGTGGGACCGCCCCCTCCCACCCCACCCCGTGCATGAATGTCATAAATATATGTTACAAGTAAATATATATATATCACAAGTCAACTGTGTCTCGTAACCAGCATAACTGTGACTTAGTGTTGTTGTTCTAAATGTCTGAGATATGATGTTGGCATGGAATCTTTCAGAAATCTGAGGAACAGACAACATTGAAGGAGGCCGTAGCGATGCTTAATTACGAAAATTTATGCTTAATTATCAACAGGCGGGGTCTTTCAAAGTGGCCCAGCCAATCCCCTCATTTGACGGGAGAGCAGTAGTAACGAGAGGGGTCACTCGACCTCCGGGGCAGGGTGTCCAAGTAGTCAGCAGAGGGGCCAGGACGCTGAGAGTGAGCCTGCAAAGACCGTTTGATCATGATTCACTAGAGCTTGCTCACGACGTGGCAAAGCACAACAGAAACCCTGAGAAAAGTCAACCCTCTGCGAGGGAAAAACTTTTCAAGGAACAATCCTGATACGCGGTAGCCAGTAACCTGACTGTAAGGTTTAAGTATCTTTCCGCCTAATGTTTCCACTCCAAGTACCATTTCTGACTTCGGGTCTATGGGCTGCAGAGGCTCAGTACCTTGATGCTCTCGTTGATGCGATTCACCAGCCACGAGAACAGCCTGCTGTAGAGGTTTTTGGCCAGAGCGTCCCGGGCATAATACGCCTACAAGAAAGAAAAGAAACACTCAGCGTACCCCCGACTACCACAGCGCTCGCCTTCAGTAAAATAAGATTTAAAAACATATATATTTGCAGCTCTTTTATTCCACATGTCTTCTCAGAGCCGCTTTTCATTACAACTCTGGAAGACCAGTCAAGCCACTGAGAACTGATAGGCGGTAACCAATAATCTGATAAAATTCAAGCACCCCCGATACAAAGCTACCAATCCCCCGAAACACCCCCGCCGGGCGCTGTGCTCACCCACCTGCGCCACGTTCAGCGTGGTGGACACCTTCTCCTGCTTGGCCTCCACCGTGCGGAAGCTGAAGGCGCGCTCCAGGACCGACTGGTCGATGGCCGTCAGCTCGCAGATCTCCTTCAGCTCTGTCGGGGGAGGACACGGCGTGACTGCCCGCGCGGCTCAGAGCCATGCCCCCGGCTCAGGAGTCCCTTCTACGGCACATGCAACCCGCACGGCACATGCAACCCGCACGGCACAAGACACTCAAAACAGCTGTCGTCGTGTTTCTGTTCAGTTTCACTACAAAGCTGTTTTCGAACCGACCGAAAGCAAGGTTTACTCTCCGGATTGAAAACTGTGGGCAGAGATTCAGGACACGTTCGCCGGGCGAAGCTGATGCCGCACGGCCTTACCGTTCTTATCCTTGATTTTGCTTTCGTCTAAGCCGTTCACTCGCGACTCGGGCTTGAACTCGATGTTGCCCAGTTTCAGCACCGCGGCCACCACCTCCAGGACGGCCTCGGCCTCATGGTCCATGAAGCCCACGATCTGCATGGCATTCTGGGGGGACAGACACCCGTTTCCTGTCCGTAGTTCTTTTTTTTTTAAAATGAATCATAGAACACATTTGTTTCTGAAGTAACAAAAACAACCACCACCAAAAAGACAACGGTGTCCTGGAATAAACTTCCCCAAACGGAAGCCTGTTAACAAACTGGATAGGGCACCCACGTGCGGCTTTATCTTGTGCAGAGGTTTCCAGCTGAGGTTCTGGGAGCCCCAGGGCACCTGTGACCAAGGCGGGGGGAGGGGTAAACAGGAAGACAGAGGAGGCTGGGAGCTGAGCCTTGGGCTCCCACCCCGTTGCTGTGTGTGTATACACATCTGTCTTTCATCCTGGAACTCTACTGCTGGAAAAAACATCTTCCATAACCCCCTACAAAAAAGCCTCCTCGTTCACTTTACACACGAGAAAACCTGCGGTTTGCAAAGATGAAGTCTGCAAACCGACCCAGGGCCCTGTGGGTAATAAGGCACATCCGCCCAGTCATGAATTTGTATTGAGTGCCAACGATCTGCCAGGCAGAGTCCTTAGAGCTGGTCTAGAACCCACGTCTCAAAACTGTGTGCTGGACTCCACAGGCCTCGCCTTCGACGATGCCCGGTTTTAATAAGTGACGCACTCGGAGAAACGCTCTCTTTTCGAGAAGAGCCCAGCTTGTCTGTTCATCTGGTTACGACCAGGCAACCCAGAATCCAAACATAAGCATCGGTAGAGGGAGCAGGGGGAGACCCCAAGTCCTCCCAGAGACGAACTGGTGACAATCCAGTTTCCTCCAGGATCGCCACCTCCTCCTCACTCCCCCCACCCCCGCCCCCGTCTCATGTGGAAGTGATCATCGGTCACCACGGCACGTCCCAAGAGCAGTGACTGTCAAAGTGCCGCAGGACCGTCAAACAGGCCGTCACTTAAAAGCCTTTGTCTAAAGGCTGATCATCCCAGTTTGGTCACCATTTCTCAGAAACTGTTTAAAAGCACAACTTTCTGTCTCAAAAACAGTTTTGGCTTCATATGATCCTAGAACATGTCACGTTTTCACGCCTGAACGTGAACTATTGGGCTTTGGTGATGAAAACAGTCAGGATCTCAGTACAGCCTCAAAAGGGTCAGACCCCAAACTCATCCAATCAGAGGCTCCTGTCGATGACCAGGAAAACCACTCCGTGCCATAGGCACGGCCTTCACCTCGCGTGACGTCCGGGCCGTGAACAGATCACAGCCAATCAAACACAACAGGCCTCGTAGAATTCTCAGCCTTTACGGAGCACGAGTTACACGTGGAAGAAAACTCAATTCCGTTACCAATTCCGATGGAGCGGTAAAGCGCTCCCCACTTTAAAGAGAAATGGGAAGGGCACCCTTACCCTAACGGTTCTGAAGTTGGCCGCATCATCCACGCCATTAACTCTGGCGGAGTCCAGGCTCAAGTAGTTGTATCGGCTGAAATCCCGCTCGAGTTTCAGTTTCTCTGTGGAATCGCACACACAAATCGATAAGCCACTTCCATAACCCGAACCATCTCTAACTTCTCATTCCTTACCCCTTCAGATAAAATGACTTTAAATTCTGTGTTAAGCCAACAGAAAAACTGGTGCCCAAGTATCAATAAGAGCCGTTTTCTAAAATCACCTTTCTCGGTGTTGTTCATAGTTTTTTCACATTTATTCCTAATGGGAAGGCCCTTTCCATAGGTTTATAATAGAAAATATCTTCCCTGTACTATTTCATTTTAACAGGGTATCTGCCTAGCCATTCCCACACCAGGCTATCTAAATAGAGGGCAGGGATAAGTGTCCCCCTACACAATGTGTTGGGGTGCCTCTGAACTATTTCATTGGGGTACGTTCCAAAAAGTGGTGTGCTGGGCGGGAGGCTGACCATTCCATGGCTTATCTGGGGTCCCCGGGGAAGATGTCCTCCCTGTGAGGTGACACCCACAAGCTGGAAGCAGACCAGAGCCCGACACCTCTGCGGGCTCCCCCCTTTCTAGTAACTCCCCCTCATGCGCGAGCAGTGGACACTCGGAGTCATTTCCGTGCCCTCTGCTGACCTGGGTGAGGGGAGTCCCCCAGGTGGCGCTAACTTGCCAAAGTTCTTCTGGTCTCAACCGTTTGTTCAAAACTTTTCCTCGCTTGGCTGTTGCGCTCGGGCACTACACGATGCGCTTACATTAACTCTCTCTCTCAGATGCCCAGAGGTGATGTTTTTAACTCTAGTTGCAAACGTCTTCCCGCTATTTTTCAGTCTTCACGGAACCATGTTTTCCTCTAGGGATGCATCTGCTGCTCCCTGCTCATTCCCTCTCCCCACGCGAATAAAGGCATTCGTCCATCTCACTGTTTTACGTCATAATTAGCCCCTCCCCCAATGCGTAGCTCTTTTTGGAAGCCACCTGAGACAGGCAAAGCACAGGGACCTATCAAACCAACGCTGGCGTGTAATCAAAGCAAACACCCCGTGTCCTTCACCTCAACCAGGGTCACGGAAAACGTGTAAGAAGGAGGGGAAAGCATGTGAGACACTTTTTAAAAGAATGCTCTGGATTGACTGTCAAACCTCAGAGGGAAGGCAGTGGAGGGAGGGTCGGTGGGAGGAGATCAACCAAAGAACTCCTATGCATACAGGCACAGCCCGTGGACACAGACAATAGGGTGGTGAGGGCCTGGGGTGGGGGGCGGGGCCAGCCTGGGAGAGGTCAATGGGGGAGAAGGGGACATCTGTCATACTTTCAACAATAAAGTTGTGTGTGTGGTTTTTTAAGTTGAATATAGAAAAAAATTTAAGAAGGAAAAAGAAATGGAAAGAATGCTCCGGAAGGTGCTGTGACAGGGCCGGCCGGGGGCTCAGGCTGTCAAACCTCAGAGGGAAGGCAGTGGAGGGAGGGTCGGTGGGAGGAGATCAACCAAAGAACTCCTACGCATACAGGCACAGCCCGTGGACACAGACAATAGGGTGGTGAGGGCCTGGGGTGGGAGTGGGGCCGGGGCCGGCCTGGGAGAGGTTAATGGGGGAGAAGGGGACATCTGTAATGTTTTCAACAATGAAGTTTTTTTTTAAGTTGAATGTAGAAAAAAAATTAAGAAGAAAAAAGAAGTTAAAAGAATGCTCCGGAAGGTGCTATGACAGGGCTGGCCGGGGGTTCGGCGGATGAGAGCCCCATCCACACACCGGCACGCTGGCCCCTGGGACTTGGCGCGAGCGGGGACTCACCCAGGAGCTCCTCGGAGGCGCCGGAGAGCAGCTGGTAGAAGACGTGGAAGTTCCTCTCGCCCCGCGGCTGCTTCACCACACGCGACTTCTCCAGAAGGTCTAAGGGGAGAGGGATCAAACCCAGGGCAGGGTCAGTTAGGCTCTGGCATCCACCACGGTTCTCTTTCCCCTTTCCCTGTCTCCTCCCGTCTCGTATTAATAGAAAAATACCAGGAGGTACACTTTCAGCTCTAGTTCCAGGGAGAAACGCAACCCTAACTGAAGCCACCCGGCGGAACACACAGGGTCCCTTCAGACAACAGTGATGTGCAAGGTAAGTTCAACAACACACGCCACCACCTGACTAGAGACAACAAGCTGTAAACCAACAGGCTCTTCACGTGGCGTGACATTCGCTCCTTCAACATGTAGCCTTGCAAGTCAAACCAGGCGATGAAGTGCGGCTTTACCAACCCACTAGGCAATCGTGATAATAAATCATTTAAAGTTTGTGAGATCTGACTGTGCGCTTTATTTATAGACTTTTCCCACCGAGTCCTCCACCATCCTATGAGGAATGACTTCACAGGTGAAAAGCTGACAAGTGCGGTGGGAAGTCAGGCCACCTGACCCAGGTGCAGGCCCCGCAGCGCAGCCACACGCCCGCCAGCGGGAAGAGTGAGGATGTCCCTGAGAGCTTGGCGTCTTAGAGAACCAACGCGGGTCTCACCTAATGCAACTTGGTGGTGTTTGACAGCGTACTTTCATGATTCCAGATAATTTTTCATCCCACAAATCTGAAAGTTTTCAAACTTTCTCCAAGGAAGGGAGGAAGGGAGGAAGAGAGGGAGGAAGGGAAGGGAATGGAAGGAAAGGAAAGTTGGGGGAATTCTCTGGCAAAGGCCAAATTTAGTTACAAAATTCTGAATTAGTGATCCCATTATCGAGGACTAAATTTAGAGAACAAAGACACTGGATTTCTAATAAGAGAAAAATTTAAACATTATCCAAAAAATGCACAGGGAGAGAGGCTGTGCCTTTCTCTGGAAACGGCACCGAGCTCCCTAATGCGCACGGTGGGACCCACCCAGCGTCTGCCCAGGTGAAGTTCAGTGCACATGTGAGGCAAGGCAAGCCCCAGGGGGTCAAACCCAGGAGGTCACGGTCAGAAGGAGGAGGTGAGTTTCAAGGAAACCTAAAAGTGGGCTGAGGAGCAGAGAACAAAAGCGTATAAACACAAAGCTACCAGCAACAGGACGCTGTGGCGCTTTCAAACGCTCATCCCCGGTCATTCCACCTGGACGGCGGCCAAGGCCTCACAGAATGAGGTTCCTATTGAGCCAAAAGGAAGAAAACAAATGGAATGCACCAGGGAGACAGCATTTAGTCACGGAAGATGACGCAGCATCCATCCCCTCGAGGGACTGGCCATTTCGGTCAACTAGCCGGTCAATACTGAGTGCGGAACGGAAGACAGAACCGAGGGGGAGGCTGAGAGGCGGCCTGAGCTCACTCACCCCGTGGCTAAGAGCACCAGCACAGTTCTAGAAGGAAGAACCCCCCCGCGCAGGGGCAGGCCCTTGGTGGAGAAGCTAATCCTTACAGAAATTCCTCAAGCCTGGAAGAAGGTAACTCGATCACATTTAAAAATATATAAACAAACGCTACAGCCCTAGCCGGTGTGGCTCAGTGGATAGAGCTTCGGCCTGCAGACTGAAGGGTCCCGGGTTCAATTCGGGTCAAGGGCATGTACCTTGGCTGTGAGCACATTCCCAGTAGGGGGCGTGCATGAGGCAGCTGACCAATGATTCCCTCTCATCATTGATGTTTCTCTCTCTCTCCCTCTCCCTTCCTCTCTGAAATCAAGAAAAAAAATATATAAAAAATAAAACCCTACAGCTTACCTCACCCATCCATGCACAAACTCCTCAGTCATCAGTCCACTCACTCACTGCTCCCCCAATGTGCCGGGCACCATCTGGCAATGAGCTGGGCACTGGCTACCAACATTCAGACCTTCTCCCCTTGGTGCACAGGGTCCCCTGCTCACATCACGCCCGCCACCCACATCCACAGCAGCAGCTCTTCCCACGGAGGGATGCCCAGGTCCTTGGAGCATGGGGTGGGTGGGAGGGCAGTGGTCAGGGGTCCCTCGCCTGTCAGAGCCCACCCCCAGGCCTCCCCACGGGGCTAAGGACCCTGCCACACCCCACACACATTCGCCCACCCGACAGTGACACCGTAACATTAAGGACAGACAACTGCCTGGCGCCACTCATCCCATCCCACGCCAACAAGCCAACTGTGGTCCTTCTTCCAGACACCGATACTGTCCACGCCTGGGCAGGGCCACACCGGGCCCCGCAGCACACCGGCCGGCCTGCTCGCAGACAATGGCGCTTAGTCATGGCCATGGCTTGCCGCCCCAGCAGACAGCCACCGAGTTAAAGAATAGCATTCCCTGTGCGGCGTGTGGGAAGGAATGCTGGCCCGTGCGCTTCCTGACCCGGCAGCTCGCCTGATACGATCGGTGACTGCGGTCACATCCAAGGGTAGATGCCATGTGCACCGCGCGGTGCCAGGGGGAGGGAGGGAACTTTCCCAGGCCTCTCCCCAGCAGCTGCTTCTCCCTCCTTATCACCCTCCCGCGGGCCCCGCCCTGCAGCCCTGTGATCACCCCGACTTTGTGGGTGAGAAACGGAGGCTCGTCTGCCAGGGTTACCGCGACAGGGCCAGGCGCACAGCTCTGGTGACTGAGGCATCCGTTCAGTCTGCTCTTTATGATTTTCCAGCGAAAAGACTGCGAACCCCAGACACGAGTGGAAACGTACACTTTACAGCAGGCAGCCGGTCCCATGCTCGCTCACCACTGACGCTTCCCTCTCTCCCTCTCCCTTCCTCTCTGACATCAATAAAAGCATTTCTTTAAAACAAGTATTATCTCGCATCAAACAAACATCTGGACGTGCTTCCATGTTTTATCTTCTCAAATGACGCAAATGTTTGCCATTTCCCACATTTTGAGCCCGTCTCCTAATGATACACCCTCAGCGATGTTCTCCGGTTCGGTTCGGGTGAGCCCGTGGCACAGCCCGCCTCCCCCGGGCAAAGAGCCCGCGGCTGGCTTTCCTTTCTACTGGCCGGTCCGCAGCCAGCCCCGTGGCCCATGCCCTTCCCGGGGTAGCCTGTGCTTTCACTCGGCAGCGCCTGGACAAGGAGGCAAAATGTGCTTCCTACAGCCTGGCCGGTCTCGTCTTCTTTCCCAGGTTATGAGATGCTGGCTTTGGCAGTTTGGAGAGGACAAGAGGGGTCTGCCCAGTGCTCACCCCCGTCCCGGAGGCCAGCCGCTGCCGCTCCCCGCGACCACCTCTGAGTCAGCCCGTCTACGCAGAGTGAAGTCTCCTGCTCTGACCACTAATGTATCCCTTTGCTCTCCCGGCACAGGATCCTTGGAAACACCGGGGTGTTCCCACTACCACAGATTTCAATACAACGTCCCTGTGGGAACAGACAGTAACCACCACCATATGAAACCCATTCGCACGGATACAGTCATCCTAACGGGGCAAGCACTGAGGGCTTAATGTTTACTCTCCATGGAGACCGTGACCATGAAAGGGCAGGCAGGCAGGCATTGCCATGTGGAGCTTACACCTCAAAACGTAAGACCCACGTTACTGTCCAATCCTTGTAGGAAAGTAACCCTTAAACATGTTCCTAGCGTCCTCAAAAGGAATATTGAATCAATCGTTTCAGAACCAGAACATTTCAATACAAGTTCTATAATGAAAACAGCAAGCGTATCCTCATTTTTGAAAAATCGTGGATTATTAAAGTTAAGTTGTGTTGTACAAAGTCAATGCTGAAGATTTACGAATATATTTCAGAATGAAAACGAACGGTGCCTTTAATGGGGGTCTTAGAACTGGGCCTGCCTTTTCCTGTGCAGCTCTCAGCGGCTGCCAGGCACCGTGAAGGGAGGGAGCCAGCCTAGCAGGCTGGGCAGGCTTACAGTCACTTGATTTGGGCACCATTCTGGTCAGCATGTGTTTCTGCTTCCCTATTGGACATACAAAACCATTTAATCCAACCAATTTCATATGAACACTTACTGCTGGAAATATTCTCTAATAACTATGCATTTTGGCAAATGTGGATAATCTCAACGCATGGCACATACCTTGTGTAGTCAGGCAAACTAAAATGGAAAATTAACCCAGCCAGCGTGGCTCAGTGGTTGAGCACCAACCTATGAACCAGGAGGTCACAGTTCGATTCCCGGTCAGGGTACATGCCTGGGTTGTGGGCTCCATCCCCGTGTAGGGTGTGCAGGAGGCAGCTGATCCATGATTCTCTCTCATCATTGATGTTTCTATCTCTCTCTCCTCCCTTCCTCTCTGAAATCAATAAAAATAGAGCTTAAAAAAATAAATGGAAAATTAACTACTTAAAAACTATGAAATGGTGGAAATGAGAAGAGCCATACAATTTATTCAATTTAATCCCATGGATTCAAAGATGAGAAAACCCCAGCCCATCAAGGTTGCTCTATGAATAGTGATTTAATTTTTTTAAACTAGCTATATAGTTTGCCCAGGTTTCTTAACCACTAACCACCTGGCAGCATTCCTCCAGCCTAGAGTTGGGCTGGGTTTGTTAAATAAAATAACCTTTGGAGAAAGGTCTATAGTAATAAAATACAGTTGGACTAGTACCTATTTCTTCAGCAGACCCCTAAAAAGTTTTTCCAGGGTAAAGATTATGTCATCTTTTAAAAAGATTTAGAAATTATATAAGACAAGCTGAAATCTATAGGTTAAAAGTCTAAGCAGTATAAGAAGACATATTCGTACACCCATCTCTTAAAGATCCAAGTATCTACAATATTCCATTTTAAACACACGTGTTACTGTTCTAAACTTCTTTAAAAGAATTCAAATAAAATACTCACAGTTACTAATCACTCCTCCCAGGGGGTCGCCTTTAAAGTCGAATTCAATATCCATATATTTGCCCTGCCAGAGAAAGACTTGGTGAGTTTTCAAGATCCCCTCAAAATATTCAGTCAGCGTACCCTCTCAGAGAACAGCAGCAGCGTAAGCCCTCCATACATCTGTTTAAATGTAATTAAGAAAGACACAGTTTATGTAACCATGACGCACAACAATACGCCTCCATGAATAATTCATATTAAATACCCCATTAGCTCCAAACTAGCATATCCCATTGCTAATTCAAGAATAGATCATCTCAGCCGTCATGTAAATTTTCCACTTCAGATCTGTTTCAAGTTCTGAAGGGGGGGTGTCTTCCATTCAACAATAAAACTGCGGAAAATAAGTATTCCTTGTATATGCATTCGTGGGGAAGATGAACTATTTCATTTTTATAGGCAAAATATGTGTAAGCCATGGCCAGAAACTCCAAACACACTGGCCCCGGGGAACACTTAAAGTCCTGTTTTTATATCCACTCAAATCAAATACAGGACCATGCGGGTGACCAGCTCAGAATCAAAGACCGCTCCGTGCTCCTCTCGGGCTTTGATCTGGATTACACAGCCGTCTATGACAGGCTCGTGTTCTACTTTATAGCCGGTGCGTTAAACACAGGGACGCACACATGGCGTTTCACGCGGTCATTTCTGCAGAACTGCTCTGTCATTGTCTGGTTAAAGAGTAACCAGCAGGAGAGAATGGCCCCGACAGCTGCTCTTTGTTTGGAAAAGGGTGTGTTGGTCGAAGGAGACTTTGGTTTTGCTTCGTGTTCTACCTTCGTAACAGCCAGAGAGATGGTTCCTAAGTCATTCTCCCAAAGAATGACTTACACTTCTCTATTTGAGAAATAACCGTGAGGGGGAAGACCCAGGATCGCATGGCGCCCAGTCAACATGCGATCTGTGACTTTTTCTTAGCTCACACACGCTCTCCTGCCTTCTCCTTCTCGTCATCCTGGGTCTCCTGGCCTTTTAAAGCCTTCACAGCCCCAGCCGGTTTGGCTCAGTGGCTAGAGCATAGGCCTGGGGACTGAAAGGTCCCAGGTTCAATTCCGGGCAAGGGCACATGCCCGGGTTGCAGGCTCAATCCTCAATCCTGGTTACGTGCAGGAGGCAGCCAATCCATGATTGTCTCTCCTCGTTGATGTTTCTCTCTCTCCCTCTCCTTTCCTCTCCGAAATCAATGAAAATATTTTGTTTAAAAAATAAAGCCCTCACTGAGTAGTCATTAAGTAAAGGTCTATAAAACAGTCTATAGAAGCGGTCAGCAGGGCAACCAAGGCCCAGCTCCTGCCCTCAGACGCTCTCAGCCGCCGGGGCTGGAGAGAGACACACCGGACTGGACTGTGCATGGGGTGCCTCCTGCCATGGGCCCCGGTACTCTGCACGGGGAACAGGGACCGAGGGAAAGCAGGAAGTCTGCCCTTAGTGTCAGAGGCCAGCAGGCAAGGAGGGGAGAGCAGGAAGGAGGAGGCGCAAGCTGGCCTCCTAAAGGATGGAGAGGGAGGCAGGAGCCCATCACGACATCGAGATGTGCGCCTGACAGCCACGCCGGGTCATAACGGTTCCCAGACAAGGGTGCCACAGTCACACGTGCCTCCTGACAAGACCACTCTGGCTGTGTGCAATGGGCTAGAAGGAAACAAGGCCAGGGTGGCTGAGGGGAGGTGGCAGTCATTGGGGAGAAACGTGGGTGACTTTCAACAGGAGTCGCAGCAAAAGCGGGGAGTAAGCAGAGCAGAGAGCGAGGCAGCGAGTCGCCAGGACAGGTCCTGGGCGGATGGACAAGGTCAGAGAGGAGGGACGAGGATTCAAAGCCCAGGAGTGCGGCCCTCCGTGGGAACACTGGTCTAAAGGGTAAGCTACAATGAGCACGCCTACGGGACCACCACGGGGTCGACCAAGTATCTCCGTGAAGAGATTGAGAAGGTCATGCCAGACCTGGCTGGTCTGCTCAGTGGTTAGAGTGTTGGCCCATGGACCGAAGGGTAGCAGGTTCAATTCCTGGTTACGGGGAAGGACCTCAGTCACAGGTTCGATCCCCAGTCCCGGTAGGACGCATGGGGAGGCAACCAGTCCCTGTGTCTCTCGCACATCAGTGTTTCTATCCTCCCTCCGGCCTTTCCAGTCTCTCTAACGATCAATGGAAAAATATCCTCGGGTGAGGATTTATAAAAAAAGAACTTCATTCTGGGTTAACCTGTCACACACTGTCAAAGGAAATGCAATTTCCATGAGTCATCAACGCTGCTATATATGGTCACTGTGCACACAGGAGAGAAATTACTAAGACCTGGGCGTGAAATGATGTAGCCTATAATCCAGTATTAATTTCATATCCTAACGCCTCTGTTATAATAGGATTTCTCTGAATTTACTTAATAAGCCAAGCCTCTCAGTTGTGAATGTAGTAATGACTCTGAGTAACACGGTTTTCTCAATGTTTACAGTCTATGGACTAAATATATTTGCAAATGTCTTTTGTAAAGCGTGTGTCATTGGCAAAAAGCAAAACATGAAATCTCCACAAAGCAGCTTGACCTCTTGGAATGACTTCTCCCTGCCCACGCTCCCGTTGCTGCTCATTCTATTTATGTAATGAGATTAGCCATGTGACCACAGCAGGGCAAGGCAGGGCTAATCCAACGGAAAAACGCGCAGCCTCGGACCGGAACCTTCCCCTCTCCAAGCCATTGACCATCTCCGTGGGGCCACGCTCCTGCCTGCAGCACTGAGAACCCCACGGAGGAGCAGCCAGAGGAGCTGACAGAGGGGAAGAGGAAAGGCAGGGAGGGTCTGGCAAAGAGGCATCAAAGATCAGAATCGGTCCCAAGTCGTGTATGAGAAGAGAGCTTATGAGGTCACTGATCTTTTAACATAAAACCGGTTAAACTCTAGAAAAAAGGAAGCGATTTCAAGCCCTGGCCGGGTTAACTCCGTTGGTTAGAGCATCGTCCCCATACACCAAGGTTTGGGGCTCATGCCTAGCAGGGCACACACCAGAATCAACCAATGGATGCATATGTGGGACAGCAAGTCGATGCTTCTCTCTCCCTCTCCCCATCTAAAATCCATCAGTAAATAAATAGAAAGAAAGAACCGATTTCAGAATGCTAGCCTCACACACAGCGTGCTCCCCTGCTGCCTCCAGGCAGGTCTGTGTGGGGGAGGAAGGGGCTCAGCTGGAGAGCCCTGCGGGCAGATGTGCAGTCATGCAGAGATGATGGGAGACGAAGCCGGAAAGTTCTCTCAGTGGAATCAGCATATTCCAACTCAGCCAACGCCAAGCAACAGTTAGCTTCAATTGTTATTGTTCAGTCCTCTCTCCCCGCCCCCATTAGCTGCCAATCCTAGTGACTGGATCTCTCTCTTGAGCTTTAGAATACACCTCCTCCCGTCCTGGTATCTATAATAATAAAAAGGTAATATGCTAATTAGACTGGATGTCCTTCCGGATGCCCTTCTGGATGAAGCCAGGGTGTGGTGGGGGTTGAGGCAGAGGCCGCTGCTATGGAGGTGGGGGCCGAGCCCCTTGCACGGATTTTGTGCATCAGGCCTCTAGTTACTGTATAAAGGACAAACCCGGTACAGTATACGAACTCAGTTTATCCTTCTCCTTAATTTCTGATTCTTAATTATGATTTCCAAATACCAAAATTTAGACAAGAGTTATTCTAAATAGCCTCATTTAAATTGCTCATGGAATCTTAGGATCCGTGATAAGAAAACATGAAAAAAAAAAATAGCCTGTCACTCCAAGAACGGAAAAAGGGGAATTCCAGAAAGCAAAGAACCGTCCGTAAAAACTCGCCCGGGTTTCAACAGCAATGGTGCTCTTCGTTTCCACACGTGGGTATGAGGAAATATTAAACATCTCCTGGCTGTGTACACATGCACGAGATAAATATTAGGGTTAACACTTGTGCTTTACAAATACTTACAAATCGCGAGGAGTTGTCATTCCTGACCGTCTTGGCATTTCCAAAAGCTAGGAAGAAAGGAATGATGCATGGTTAAATGGACAGGAAGTCATTTCACGCAGAAAGATACGGCCACTATCATACTTACAATTTATAAATCCTAGAACATACAACTTGCAGCAGTGGCACTGCTGTCTAAAATTTCCACAGAAGCACACTAAACAGGAGTCCACTAAAGCTCCCGTGTCTTATAAGTTCATAGAAAAAGAGCGTCATTCCTGACTCATGGAATTCCCCAGGATTACTGTAACTCAGTCTCGTTTGATTCGGGATCTGGTAACAGTGTTGACAGCAGTGAATGGAGTGGCCAGCAGGCACGGCTTCTGAGCCCTTCACCATGATCCTCAGCGGATAAGGTCAATTCAGCGATAACTACTACTTAGGATTGCCAAAAGTTGTGTGGAACTTGCTGAGGTCTCCGGAAACCTTTAAATTTGTAATTAATTTGAAGTCAAGCTATTTATAACAGAAAGACAAAGAGATTCGAAAACTATCATCCTTGCCAGTAGGCTCAATATGTCCGTCAGACCTAAGTGAAACTTTCTAGAATATAAAGAAAGCCAAGCCCGGCTGGTATAACGTAAGTACTTCATTGACACTTACAAAAATACTGAATATTGAAAACTTCCTAAGCAAATACTCTCCAGGTTTTATTATTATTATTATTATTTGCATAACTAATTCACTTCATTGTACTGATGGGGTGGTCATAATAATCTGGCGGGTCATAATCTGGCCACTCAGTGTATATATAATAAAAAATAAAAAAAAGAACGCCAAACTGGCCCATGACTCAAAATCCAAGTGGGTTCCAATCTCCGCTGCTTCGAGCCGAGTTCCCCGCAGGCCCCCTTTCAAACGAGGGCACCTCAGAACCACAGGCTGATGCCACCAGGCAGAGTGTTCCGTGGAGCGCTGGCGGCTCACAGGGTCTTCCGGTAGAAGGACTGCCTCACCAAGCTGTGCACAAGGCAGGGAAGAGCGATCTGGGCCAAGGTAGCGAAGGACCGAGCAGAGTAAATATGCCACCTGAGCAGCCAGGGTCCCTGTTCCGTGGTCTGGAAGCCCCGCGGTGCGCCTCACCCTTCACCATGCACACCCACGGCCTCGGGGGCTTGTGAAGGCGCAGACTTGGGCTCAGGGCATGAAATTCTGCGTTTCGGCCCATCCTGGCTGTTAACCGGGACCCGTGGGCCACACGGCAGCTGGCAAGGACTGAGACACGATGACACGTGAGCAGAAATGAATGTTCAGGTGGAGAGACCAGCATCCCATCTCCGGAAGCCTCCATCGCTTCATGCAATCCAACGGAGAGAAGATGATTGAAGAGCAAGAGCTCAAACGGTAACTCAGGGCTAAAAGCTGGTCCGGGTGCTGAGAGCAGCCACGGGATCAGGCCAGGAAGTGTGTGTTCAAGTTGAAGTTCACTTTGGATACTTGGCAGCCAACCCTGATGTGTTATATTTCACATTAGCTGGCTTTTTCTTTTTATTTTTTTTTAATATACTTTCATTGAGGTCAGAGAAGAAGGGAGAGGGAGAGATAGGAACATCAACGAGGAGAGAGAATCACTGATTGGCTGCCTCCTGCACGCCCCCTATGGGGATCGAGCCGGCAACCCGGGCATGTGCCCTTGATTGGAATCGACCCCGGGACCCTTCAGTCCACAGACCAATGTTCTATCCACTAAGCCAAACTGGCCAGGGCACATTTGTTGGTTTTTTAATGTTTCTGATTTTTTTTTTTAAAAAAAGGTGAGTCCTCCTCAGTTAAGACTCAGTCCTCAGTCCTCCTTCATAAAGGCAACAGGGCAGTTCTCAGGGCAGAGACACCACGTGGGATGAGTGTGGCGTAGCGGGTCCCCTGACACCAATTCTCTCTTTAACACGAAGCAAACAGGTGCTACACGGAGCAAGGAAACCTGACACAGGAAACCTCCAGAAAGGATGCTGAAGTCACCTTTCCATCCCCCGTCCACCCCCGCTGAAAGGCCGGACGGTAACAAACGCAACCTTGAGAACGGTGAGTGCCGGCCCAGGGATCCCCAGGGGTCGTGAGGACCAGGACATCATTTGGGGTTTTCACAGGGTAGTCCTTCCTGGGGGGTGTGGCCACGTCGAGGTGCCAAGTGAACTAACTTGCGTGGCCCCTAAGCCCAGCTCCAGATGCCAATGCATAAAAGGCTGTGTGTTGTGGCTTGAAGGTCAAGGGCGAGTGAAGGAATTGCTTCAAAAAAACTTTATTCAGAGCGGCCTTTGCAAGCCATAAACCCTCTTTTCATCAAACAAGTCTGAGTTGCACATTCTGAACCCAGCTCCGAACACTGGCGTCTTTGACTGTGAGCCCCAGGCTCGAAGACAAGGGCTCCCTCACACACTTGAGACACATTCCTCAATTGTTGTTCTAAGAGCATTGTTCTCGATGTTCATTTCCAGGAGCAGCTCCAGCTGGGAAGTGGAGCGTTCCCATACGAGATGGCGCATGCCCACAGAGGCCTTCCTCCCATTTCCTGCCCGGGGCCTCGCTTCGAGCACCATCGGCGCAACGGCCAGATCCTCATCACAGAGGCGACTACAGCGTCCACGGAGCTGCTCT